GTCGGCACACCTGGCGATCTTGGCGAATATATGATGGCCCAGCGCACCGCTGCAGCTGCTGAAATTCCTGATGATGACAGCATGTAATTTCTAAATGTATTTCCCTAGGTACCTAGGTCCATCGGCTCACTTGCGCCTCACTGGCATTTTGATCTTCTTGATCTGTGTCCAGCCGTGCATCCTCCAAAAAAGGACCGCGGCAGCGGGGCGTGTGTGTGAACCATCTGAAGAGATGTAAAACTTCTAACCTGCTTTTTCGCTTCTAGGTATCTATGTTGTTACTTCAACTGTGCAGGGGAGTGCGGCATGATTGTGGGACCGCACTCAAAGAAGCTACCACAATCATGGGATACTGGGTCTGATCAACCCAGCGTACCTGCCAATTCAACCTCAGTTTTTGCAGCTTCCAGATTTCTTCTTCATGGCAACCGGCTAAGCCTAGAACCGGCATGTCGATCATTTGAATTTTCAATTTCCCCAACTGTCATTTTGGCAACAACACTGGCTATGGCGATGATAACTTCTTGATTTTTTGTCGGGTCTCTTGTTTTTGCACGTAAGATGCATTCCACGCCAAATTCGCAATGACAGTTCTGAGCAAATAAGTGGGGCCCGGGACTTACATATTAGACTATATTTGTTTCGCAATCAGTAGCTAGGAAACGCTATCACAGGTTCAGCTTCCACCCCTGGGCACAGGTCTGTTCTTTGGCTCCAAAGGCAAAAAAAAAATTCGAGGACAGTTTGCTGCACATACTGTATGGCATAGGTAAAGTATGATAAAGTCATTATGCCCGTGTCCAAGGACATTTTAGTAACTCCTCCCAAGAAAGTGGAGACATTTGCAACACTTAAAAAGAACAACTTGCCATGGCCGCATCAGATGTGGGCAGCTGGCTGGAGGTTGATCCACAAACGGACACTGGAAGTTGTTGCTCCCGGCTGAAGATTTTTGGCGCCGCAAAGGCTCTCACATGGTGGAGAGATACAACGGACCCGGTGGTTCTCAATAGTCCCTGGCTACGACGGGGAACCGGACGGTTTTTCCGGGCTCTTTGTACTCTTGGTCAGATTGGCGCCTGGCTATGCATGCTGCTTCCCGAGCCAGCCAAGATGTGGGCCTATGCTTTTCCAGAAACACCACATGGCGGTAGGAGCAGTTACAGGGACATCCCTGTTTTTGCGCTGATGGCTGTTTGTCTAGCACTCAGTTCAGGGACTTCCCTTTGGACAAGCCGTGAAAGCTTCAGAGGTAGCATGTTCTTTGGGATTGGCAGCGCAATCAGTGTCCAGCTGCTCTCAGCACGATGGCACTACCACTACTTCGCACACGAGTTCTCTTTCAGTTTCGTTATTGCAGTGATGTGCCACTGCAATGTTCATCCTGTGGTGTTGTTCCTGGTGGTTTTTTACCATTTCCTTCGCATATCAGGGGACAATCTAATCCAGGGTGCCCTCGTTCCCTGTTTGAGTATCATGACTTTCGAGTGCACGATGTTGGTGGCTCTAACTTGGGATTTCACATTACGTGTCAAGGCTGGGATTGGGCAAAAATCAAAGGGTTGATATTTGAATTGAACACGATGGAATCATGTTCAATGGTCAACTGACCTGTGTTTTTGGCAAGTTTGAATCCTAGGGTTAACGAAATGCACCCGTGATTCGAGGCGGTTTGTTCAGGCGTTCTCTTCGGTGAGAATGATGAGGTGCTTGAAAGCCCGGTAGCCGGGCGCTCCGCACGCAGAGTCTGTTGGGTTTCTGGTGTCAACCAATGGATTTTGTGGGCCGCAACCATGATCCACAACAGTGTTGAATCCACCCGAGACTGGCAAGACGCAGTTTTTCTTCGGAACCACATTCCTATCTGCAGCGTTGCAGTGCCTTTTCTGGCTGTCGGATTGGTAGTATTGGCTTTGTGTAGCAAGCGTAGAATCTCTCGGTGCCGAGGCACCTCCTGTACAAGCTCTGCTTGGCATGAGGATTTTGCAATGGCCTTTTTCTGTTGCGCGCCTGCAGTGCTTCTGATGGTGAACTTTCGATTAGCTTGCATTGAATACATGCACATGGAAATAAAACTCCCCACTTGGTACGATTTCCAGGATGAAACAATCCGCCGGAGTCTCCTTCTTTGTACCACTGGCCTTCAAACATTGATACAAGCCGGATGCCACCCGATGATTTGTGCTGCAGCAGCCGCAAGCCTAACAGCTGCTAGTGTCTCGATGCCATTGGGCGAGATGGACTTTTCGCCCGTTGTCATTCAGAGCGCGCTGGCTTGGTTGCTGGTAGTGAGCCACCTGATCGACTTCTTCGCTCGCATGCGTGCCATAGAGAGAGGAATGCAGCAGAGCCATCAGAATGCTGCTTCTGCACTGAGGCTTCTCGGATTCTTTCGATGCAGTTTGGGCAAAAATTCTGGATTCTATGAACCCGAACATATGCTTGGTCCCAAATCTTGGTCCCTAATCTTGGTACATGTCTCAGACTCGTATTGGATCTTTCCACTATGTTTGGTTATCTAGAATCTAGAACTTATTCCGCCACAACTTGCATGATGAAATTTTGAAATTTAATTGCAAGCGCTTCAACTTCGGGACGTTTGCAAGGCTTCTAGCCTGCGAGACGGATGGAGTGGAACTACCGGCTATCAACCAGGAGGCACGGCCCAGGGCCCCTTCAGTTTGTTCAGCGCCAAAGGCACAGAGAAAACTCACCAACGCTGACTGATGAAAAGATATGAAAGAAACCATCCAAGAGAACCATTCTCTAAATGAATCATCCGTAGGACGCGAGCGTCCCCTGGTCCAAGCACAGAAATCGAGTATGAAAGTGATCAAAAACATGACTTGATTGATCAAACCCGTGACCATGTCTTGGACTTGAACAATTTGAGGCTATTTCCTTCCTTAAAAGACCCTGAGAGTCGTGAAAGCTCCGTGTATTTGCCGGCATAGGTTATGCATTGCGAAGATCCGTCCTTAGAAGTTCTTGCTGCTCCTTCGGGCCCATCCAAGCACGGTCCATCAGCCGTAGTCGCCGTGGTGAGGCATGCAGAACGAGCAGACAACATGCAGACTTTTGATACCTGGGGTTGTTCGAAAGATGCAGAGAACTTTCCACATGATCCACCCATCACGGCAAGAGGTGCTGAACAAGCAGAGCAGCTTGGCCTAAACTCGAGGACGTGTTTGATGTTGTTAGAAAATGTATGGTCAACATTGGGTGAATATGGTTGTGATTTTTATGTCTAAGAATGTCTAAGAGAAGGCCGCTCTAAAAATTGAAATGTTTTGAAACTGCGTTGATGCACATTGAGGCAACTGGCTGATGAGCTGAAGATGAAAGAGATTGATTTCGAAGTCATCGTTTCTTCCCCGTTCCTGCGTTGTTTGCAAACTGCCTTGATCTTGGCCGAGAAGTTTGATGCGAAAGTTTTGATAGATCAAGAGTTGGGAGAAGTCATGGGGCCGCCGGTGTTTGAAACAAAGCCACCACTGCCTCCTAGGCCTTGGAGCAATCTGACACTTGACGGAGTAGCTGTGGATCATTTGTGAGTCCATGTTTTTCAAAGATTTTGTGAGGTTTGAGATGCGAGGAGAAACTGCAAAGTTTGTATGGCAAAAATGGCAAAAGTTGTCAGTTTCCAAAACATACACACTTGTCCTGCACACACACAAACACACACGCAGCGCTAAGGAAAGCAACTCTGAAGGCCTCTGCAACCTCAGCGAGTTCGCATGAGCGCCTGCAAGCAGGGCGTTTGATGGGCAAGGGGCCTCAGTGGAAAGAATCTCTTCAGCAGGCTCGTCTTCGGTATGTGAAGCGATACTTGGACTATTTGCGCCGCGCTCGTCATACCAAAAAGAGCTGCTTGCTGGTGACGCACGGCTACATGGTACAAGCGTGTGCGAGCGTGCTGCCACTAAACCAGCATCGTAAGATAGTTTCAGTTGACTATTGCGGTGCCGCAGTTGCTGAATGCCACAGGGTGGTAAAGGATGGTAACCGCCCTGACGCGTTTCTTCCTGCGAGGGCTGTTTCATTTGATTCTGGAAAGCATCAAGCTGAAAAAGAAGAGCATGTCCAAAATCAATTCGACGAGAAGAACGAACTCATCCAAGATGCCAAGATGAGATATTGGACCCTCTTTTTGCGTGGCGTCCGACATGTTCCTGCAGCCACACCCTCAAATGGATCGCACCTATCTGGATTAAGTGCAGATCTAGGCCACAGTTGGCAAGACATAGTGAAATTGCTTGGGGTGTTACCTCCAGTGGCACCTGCACCTTCGGACAGTCACAGTGAGAGCGCGTGCAGTTTTGGGACTCGCACGGACACGACCATCTCTATGAAGATGATTCGAGATCCTGACTCTGCACCAAAGTCTCCCAAAAACGAGCACTGCGTGACAGTGGAAAGGACAGAAGTGACTCAAAACGAGCAACCTTCTGCTCCCAAACTGAAGTTGCTCACATCTGGGTTGGCTGCGCGGCGCGGCTTCAGGCAGTCCAAAGTGCCTGCCACTGTTGTTGAAGATCAGGTGTGAAGCGTTTATAAGTGCAATTCAGTGCACGTCAATTTTTTGCTTTAATTTTCGTCATGGTTTCTCCCCAAGTAGAACCAAAGTTCCCACAAAGCGGCTGTTCTACCACGCTTGCTAACCAGAGTGCTTGCGCCACTTAGAGAAAATTGCGTAGACGCTTACGCTTGCCGTCATTTCGCGGTCTGTCCCATAAGGTACGACTCCAAAGAGTTTCAACGGACGTAGTTACTTAGTTGGAATAAAGATATCATCAAGCCTTTTATCCTTGTTGGATTCAGGAATCCCCACCACAACTTGCCCTGAACACCATATCTCTCCACCTCGTGGCCACGCATGATTTGGCATGGTTTAGTAGCAGCCACAGCTTCCCATCAAAATCAACTCCACCATTTCAGCTACCTTCAGGCACCTGCGACCAGAAAGTAGTATTTTCAGAACTGTCAGTTGGCGTCAAAAAGGAGCTATGGATTTCGACAGTAGAGTCCGAGCTTCAGTGGTTCATCCAACTGTTGTTCAACGCATGGGACGGCATCTTTTTGCACATAGTCCGCTGCAGCCCTCTGGGGCACCTAGGAACTTTGCTGCTGAATCCAGGTCCAGCATTTGGAAAACCTTTGCTACTTTCCATGGAGGATAAGCTGGCATAGACTGGTGAGACTTCAGCATGTGCTGACGATCATGAAGACCTTGTCTGGAAGCGACATGACCTTCTCTGCTTTGGCTCTGCCTCCGCATTCAAATTGGAAGATACTCGTAGTAGAGCAAGAATCCTGAGCAACATCAGAACAGATCTGAACAGACCGTTCTTGACACCCACTGACAGGCATGGAAACTCACAAATCAGATTCAATGATATTCAAATATATTCCAAGTGGAGCGGTACCCCACCGACTTTCAGCAAAATCCTACCCGCAACCAGTCGTAGCTGGCTACGACGTGTGCCCGGTGGGATGGCTGCCTGGATATGCGATGTATCTAAATAAAGACCGCATCAGGTGCCTGGGACATCTGGGACATGGACAGCACGAGCCAATAGCAACCATGAGAATCTTACGAGAAACTTCTTAGAAACTACTTACTTCAAACAATTCAAGGACGTTGAAATACGTTGAACTACGGTGAATGACTAGGAGGTGCGGAAGTGCAGCTGAGTCATGCTATGTCCAGGTTTAAAATGAGTGTGACGTCAGCGGCATGGAATATTGAATTATTGGGAGTCAATATATGAACCAACCAATATCAACCAACTGCAAATCACGTTTGCAACAGTCCGTCCAAATTCACAAGGCCAGGTGAATTAGGGAAAACACCGGGGTACTTGGGGTCGGCTTCCCAGATCTGATAGTCTTTGAGCCAATCGGAAGCCATGTGTCCCCAAGCAGATTGTGTTTTGTTTGGTGCTGGATGTGCTGGTGATATTGGGCAATGACATGGGCAATTCATGACAGGTGCGCCAGTTTCGCGTCAGGAGCGGGAAGAGGGGAACACACGAGAACTTCGAAAACACACAGATGGTCTATGATGGGCTGACCATGAAACATCTAAAAAGAATCTGGAAACATATTGACATATTGACCTCAATCCTGGTGAGTCAACAAACAAGCTGGCATATGCTGGCATCCCAAATCATAGCAGTTCTCTCGATTCCCTCCATCGAATCGGCAGGACTATTGGGTCTGCGATCTTCTTGCCATGGTGGGATGTTGGCTCGTCAGAGGTGCGACCAGAAGCTTAGAAGCTTCAGCTCGCTTCAATCGCTTTGCTCCAAGTGCCCTGTGGAGTCTTTCAGGAGCTACTGAACCTCAACAACGCTCCAGCCGTCATGCTCCAAGTTCATGAAATGCATAAAATGGACGAAATGCATCCGGTGTCGAGATGAATCACCTTGCCAAATGTGCCAAGACCAAGCACAGCCCAGGTGGTTGCTGACCTTTGGGGTTTCCACTTCCTGAATCCGCCGCAGGGACCCCCGTGGCTTCCAGGGTGGGGCCATCCCGAAGGGTGGTGAGTTCACCCCCATCATGTAAGGAATGTAGGAATGTCTCCTGCAGGATCCCTTTTCTTCCCCATACTGTCGGGTTATCTTCGGTTTTGCCATCGGTGTTTGCCAATTTGCAAGGTCATGGGTTACATCACCTATGCCCAGGGAACCTTCGACCTGGCAGGACGCGAAGAAACCCTGCTGTTTTGCCATCCAGAATTGTTTGACCTATCATGACCTATCCATCTGTCAAGGGGAACACAGCGGTAGCACATGTAACAACTGACAATGTTACTGCCATTATTGGCTCAAGCGCCCGCAAGAGGAAAACGGCCGCGCGCTGACTGCAATGCCTGGGTGAGGTTCGGTAACAACCAGCACATAAGGTACTACCATTCGACTACATCCGGAACAAGGATTCATTTGTTCACAGGTTATCAGCCGTAGGGCTCACTTCTCCCGCCGGGAGAGTGGTACCTGCGTGCTGGTAGCCGGGCCTTCTGAGCAATTGATTGAGGACGCAAAGGACCAATCAGCTCATCATCGCAAAGATGCAAGGCGGCAGCGGAGATTCGCGCACCACGCAGTTTACCTTCAATGAGAACGCTGCTATGCCGGTCGAGGAGGTCAATCAATCTTCCCCTGGCGACACGGCAGACAGTGGCGGGATACGCTCTACCCGAACTACACAGTCCGGATGGCAAGTCACATCAAACAGACGAAGAATATCTACCCAAAGTACACCTAGATCTTCTCGAAACAGTGCTCGGAGTGATGTTGTCCGCCAAGGGCATCGACCATCTCGAGGACGTACTACTCCAAGGGACAGATCCACCAGGGCCGTGAACGACCGAATTGGTGAGAGGACCGGGGATAGTCGTGTTAAGAGGAGATCAACGGATACTTCTGTGGCTAGTGAACCTATTGCCATGATAGAAGAACTACGGGCACAATGTCAATCCCTACGTAGTCAGTTGAACAACATGGAAGCATACGCTGCATCTAGAGATCAACTGATTCATGACATCGAGATCAGATTCACTGAGTATCTTCAGGAACACAACCAGAATGTATTTGATGAGGTCAATGCACTCAATCATAGATTGTCATGTTCCGCAAATGAGGTTGCAGAATATCAAGCAGAACTAATGGTAGCATCTCAGGAAGACGAAGGTGCAACAATACGCATCCAAGACCTTGAGCGCCGAGGTGCCCTAATGGAACATGGTGCACGACGGATTCATCAACGTGGTATGGAGATCCAGGAGGAGTACAAGGATGAAGTACATCATCTTCAAGGACTACTGGGCAATACGGAGGCAAGACTGCAACAACTTCATCAAACTAATGTCTTAACCACCGATATTGCCAATCGACTATACAATGAAGGTCAAGAAATGCAGACAGATTTCCAGAACTCAATCATGGAATATCGTAATCGATCCGAAATGGCATCCTTCTCTAGCAATCAACTTGAAGTGATTAGCCAGCAACAATCAATTGCAGTTCATGAATTATCTGAACGGAACCAGCTATTGAGTGAAGCTTTAGTTCAGTCTCGTAAACAGGCCGAGCTGTATGAAAGCAGTATCGACGAGATCACTAGAGAATCTAGAAAGAAGGTTTTCGAGGCAAATCAGGCCAAATTGGAAAGTGATCTGAAGCATCGAAACACTGAACATGATACCGTCAGAAGAATTGCGTCATACAGGAACCAAGAGGCCGAAGCAATATCACACCTGAGGCTTGAATCACAGGCTAGTGCGAACTCGATCGCAAGGGCAGAGCACTATGAAGAGCTCTATACCAATGAGCAGGAGATGAACTGCGAATTGAAGGATGAGATCAAGTTGCAGAACACGAAGTTACGAAGATCGTTGACTCAGGGTACTACGACCGACGGTCGTGGCCCCGATGAGATGCTTGTTGAAGATCTACGTAATCAAGCCAAAATCGCTCAAATCAGGGTTCAGGATCTAGATCATGAAGTTCATGAATGTTTGCAAGAGAACTTGTTGTTAAAAGAGAGATTAGCTGAAGTTGCGGATGTAGGGGCGTCGTCCCTCACCAATGCTGAGGTCCGAACTCTAAAATCTGAACCTAGAGAGTGAGCGCAAAATGAAGTTGGCTAGTGGTGTTCAGCAATATGAGAGATCATGCATGTTCATGGGGGAAATCCAGGATAGGGACGAAAAGATCGGTATCAAGAATTCTGAGATTGTGGACATGAAACGTCACTTAGATGAACTGAGAAAGAGTCTCAAGGATTCTGAAACATCCATATCTAGGGTCAGCCCTGACACACTTCCCTATTCGGCAGGCATTCCCAACTACGATCTCGCATCAAGACTAGTCATCGACAAACTGGAGAATGACGTGAGTGAGGCTAACTGTGAAAAAGCTATTCTGAAATCTTGGGTTTCGCAGATCGACAAGGAGTTGACCTATGAGACAAATATGGCTCATTCCTATCGTGGACATGCTGTACCTTCTCAACAACAACCTTCTCAATCAAACAAAAGAATCACTGATCTGCTGAAAGAAGTCGACAACAAGATCGCTGACGGAACTGAGAGGGACTACTACAAGCCACCGAGTGGATGGGGCGGTCCGCCTGATCCTGATGGACCTCCGGACCCTTTCGGGCCTAACGGTCCAGGACCACCTCCCGAACCTCCAGGTTTGCCTTCAGTTCGAGGATCACAACGCGATTCAGCAGATGATGTCTCCACAGCGGCTTACACTGCAGAAGAAGTGCCGAGAATGTCAAGACGGGAGGCTGACAAAGTCTATGTTAGCCCATGGCCGAAGCAACAGAATCTTGGGGTTTGGCAATCAGATCTCATCAAGAGTGTTGTTCTTTCTGCAAATGATGGGGACAAAGCCGCATGGGAAGCATGGCTACAGCCGGCTATTCGACCAAATCCTGACATCGAGCTATTAAATGACAGTGGAGGGCAACGGTATCAGTCAATCGACGCCAAGTTGTCAATTGCATTGTCAAATGTGATAGCCCAAGCCGGTGATGTTGCTCGTCATGTAGCGATCAAATTGAGATTGAGGACACAAAGTCATAGTCGAAGAGGAACCTATGTCATGGGACGGGAAATCTTGGCTATGATCCTGGAGCACTTCAGAACCCCAGGTCAACGAGAGACGGCCTTCACCATGGAGCACATTGTGTCAATGAAGTATCTCGGTGACCCAAACCTGGAAGTGTTCTACGAGAAATGGATGGAGATGGTATCAAACATGATGCCGGATGATGTACCTCCTGATGATTGGCTTCGTGATGCTCTATACAAGAAGATTCGAAATTCGAGTCTTATGATGTTTGACATCAAGCAGTACGAGTCATGGATTGAAGGAGACCAAAGACGAAACTATCGCTATCTGTTGGACGTCATCGAAAGGCACATCTCCAGAATCAGAGAGGACAAGCATGTGGCCGCTAGAGAGAAGTATGCAAGAGACTT